CTCTTGGGCTACTCTTTTCCCAAAAAATAGTAGGATTGGCCGTAACATTATAGCGCCCCCACGACTGAAAGGGTGAGCATGTTTAGTGTGACGCGGATTCGAACCCGCAGATTGCGAGTCGAGCGCCTTAACCACGTGACCATGTCGGGCGCCTACGGTAAAGAAAAAAAAATCTTATATAGTAATTGATTTTAAACATAAAGTTTATGATGATTTATACTTACATTCTATGATCCATAAAAGTATTCAAGAAGATATTTCCCCCATAAAATCGATAGTCAGTTTTAAATATAATAAACCTATAGGAACTCTTCTCTTTAAATATAAAACATTCATTGAAGAATTTAATCAAATGGAAGTTTACATCTTATCTTGTAACTGTAATAATGGTGTTTTTAATGATATATTTCATGATCATACAGTTACACGAAATTTAGAAGTTGTCAAAGATACTGAATTACAATCAATATTAAAGAAATGTACTACATATAGAATTTTAAAACGTACAAAAAAATGTGAAATCTTAAAACTTTGAAAAAATATTGATGAATATATATACTTAAAATAAGTAAACAATCCTATTATCCGCCATGTTTCTTTTTTTTTTTTTGATTGGAAATTATATTTCCTTAATTCCCTAAATAATCGATGAAGAACTTTAAACTTATCTCGATATAAATAAGATATTTATTTCAATGTTTTTAATAATAAAATAAAATAAATTCAAAAACAATTCGTTATTACCCTCATTGATAAGGCTGGCTATAATACTGATTTTATGTGTAAAAAATTATACTCACAAATTTTACTTAATGAAATTAATACCACAAGTACTTTAAAGAAAAATAATGTTATTACTAATTTAATGAAGTCTATTGAAAAACGGAATATCCATACAGATTATTCTTGTATGAACTTACTATTTTTATATGCAAGTCCAAAATTGCATAAAAATCCTGTGAAATTCAGATTTATTACTAATTCTTTAAATACCGTCATTAAATCCGTTTTCATAATACTTA